CGCTCACAACGCCATATCATTTTGTTATAGTGTTAATTGAGTTATAGGTTAAAAAAAAAATGTCAAAAGGCTTTATGGTACAGCGTTCAGGTCTTTGAGAATATATGTGATATCAGACAGTCTCTTTGTAGGAGGTTCTGTGACATCCTAGCAAGAGGGGGGGGGGGTCCAGCGTCTACATGTAAGAGTACACTTCATTTATCACATGCTGATCTTGCTTGAACATTCAGCACGACCATTCAGGGGAACTCCAACATGCGATGGTATCCTCGCAAAATGGAGAACAGGGTCCGGTTCTTTCGTTCGATAACTGGTAATTTCGGTACTTTTTACAGTACATCCAATATATTTACCGAGAATATTCAGGGCTTGGGGAGTACTCTGAATCATAATAAACGGTTTAATAAAAAACTGGGATCGAGATATTCTTGCTAACTCAGCTTGCATAACACTGTACTATTCCAGTCATGAACTCTGGCAACTGTGGTGCTGGAAAATAGTATTATACGCAATATAGACGGTTCAGCTTCCATGTTGTAAGGATCTATCAGTGGAAGAGTTATACGCACTGCTCAGAGTTTGAAGATGGCTGCAGCGGCGTGCTTCTCTTATCTTCGGCAGAGGTAGGAGATAGGAGATTGGAGATACACTTTTGTGAAGAGCACTTGCTTACGATAATCTCATCCCAGTATTATTCAATATTGATTGAGTGTAGAATTTGGTCCGCGGTGTCCGTAGATTTCCGAAGTTTGAACCCTACAGACCTGACTGTCATCGTTTCAGTCAGGGCATGTTGAGCCTCATTCACCATGTAAAATGTAGGCCACACACATCAAATAAAAAATGGCAATAAAAGCGGATTACGGAATTTACTTTGAAATATCAGACTGCCACAGCGAAGACTACGGAGCATTCAAAAATTTGTTCTGATTGACACTTTCAATAATGGTGAGACATAATATCGAAACATCATACTTATTATGTTTTTTATCTAAACGATGACAAAGAAAAGTGATAAAAAACACATAAGATGAATTATAAATCAGTAAAGTCATGCCATGAAAAAAGGAAAACAGGAGTTGAAAACAAAATCACTAGATGTATATGTTTGGCAGTGAAATAAGATTCAAGCATAGATAAAACATGAAATGAGACGTCTGTCGTGCAGTGTATAATCATTAAAAAAATGTTTTACATTTTCAGTCACCTTTCCAAACCTAATGGAATACGTATAATTTTAATGTGCTTTCTGACGTTCACTTTCTTCTTTCTTCCTTCCCAGAATCATCCAGTTTTGATATAGAGCTTAATATCGCCTGCACTGGTGTGGTCATTGGCGAGAAGTTCAGTTGCCAGAGAATGTTTAATGCGCCTCGTGTTCTGTCAAGGCGGTTTCATTTTTTTTTTTTTTTTTTTTTTTTTTTTTTTATCAGGCGCAACTCGCACATCTAGTTCTAACTTGAATCATCCCAACTCGAGATATCCAAACGCGTAAAGTCTGATACACAAAACCCTCACCGGTGGAGGATAACCAACATAATCCTGAAATATCCAAACTTGCGTCACGTCATCGAGAAGTCTGAAGTCAAGGATTTAACAAGCGGTTATTCACTCTCAAACTATCCGAACTCCGCGCTCAATACTAGGTGCGTGACGCGGAACGAATGCCGTCCGGAGTGGATAAAAAAAATACGAAAGAGCAACGATATGCCACTTAATAGGCTGCTGATGAGAGGATATACGTTTAGAGACCGAATCAGGTATTAAGCGATTACGTTCCGTATAGAGCCATTATGTTTGGTGATTGACACGTATACATCAAGATAGAAACTCATTTTCAAATAACCAAAACGCTGTAAATAACAAAATACACAAGTTTTTCAGGTAAAAAGAGGGAAGAAAAAGTCATCAGTTACAGTTAGCAAAGCAGAGCAATACTGACCTGTAAAAAATATTATTAATTAATAAAGGTGATGAGCCAGGCGGGGAAGCGAGAAAAGCAACCATATTGTTTTGGGCGTATCATGAATTAGATCCTGTTGTAGGAAGAAATGGAACTGTTCCTCACACGGACCCCCCCCCCCCCTCGCCTTGTACATCAGGTGGTTGTCATTTCGTGACGTGCTTCGCCTTGACGTCATCAGGAATGCTAGTCGGACGTCACAGGAATAGAAAAACAAGCAATCATGAAGAACGACTTTTTTTATCTTTTCTATTTGTAGTGAACAACTTTATTTTCAGCTTGTACATCAGTTGGTTCTCTGCGATCTATTTTTACAACAGGAATAACAGGAATCAGAAATACCACCAGAGACAATATAGAAGTGCCATATTTCTGCCATTCTATTAGTGACGGTGACAATAAGAATGGCAATAACCATAACATGAATGATAGTGATGGGTATTGTTATGATAATAAGGATTTATTTTATTTACTAAACATATGCTAATGATAGATATAGCATCCATTAAAACAGCATAATTACCTCCGCCTAGAGGT